CCACATATTGTTAATGTCCATTCTTGACAATTCTATGACTTGAGATATTTAATGATACTATTTTTGTGCATTAGTGTTTGTCTCACATCTTTCGATCAATCACTATTGCAAATGCATATCATAAGGATTTTTATCTAATTCTACTAAATTTATCAACACATAAACATAAGAATTAATAGAAATACTTCTTTATTATTATTAAAATAAATGATGCAATAATACAATAACATGAGCTCATTCAAACATGGTTAAATTCCGGGAACCAACACTAACATTTATAGTCCTCAATACTAGCATAGTTTGTATCAAATAGTGGAATTCAACACACCCATCGATATCATGTCACTTTTTCTTATGAAACTTGCTGAGATATTTCAAGTGAACAAAGGCTTATAGATTAGAAGGCTTTATATCGATACCACTAGTATTCATCATGTCAAACCAACTAGACATGGAAATTTTCAAATTTGATTTCTCTCTATCATACGCCACATCATCGAATGATACCATCTTTATCCTTTCGATGGTAGCACGGTTTGGTAATGGGTTTGAGTTCACAATTAGAGAATTAGGAGTGTCTTTAAATCTAGTTCATCCTTGGTTGATTAACGACTTAACCTTTTTTTAAGCCAAAACTATATTCGATATTATGCCTAGTCGCATTGCTAAGATATTCATATGTCTCATTTGGCCTATACCATCTTGGATTTAGGGGTTGCAATAGAGACATATGTACTAGAGTTATCTAATCAATAGTCACCAAATGCTTGAACAAGTCCCTTAAAGAGATAGAAAGAGATGGTAAGATATTTTTTTGTTCTTTCCACTCCGTATTCCTCCGATCATTTTGGTTGAATAGGGCACACTCGTCTATTAAATTGTCTTGATGCTACCGGGTTCTTAGGAATAGTTTATTGCCGAGGCTATATAAAAATTAGGGATTGAAACATCAAACCAACAATATTAGTAGGCATAACGCTTATTGGTGCCATGAATTGAACAACAAAACTAGCCATGCTACCTTCTAGAACAAAATGACTATTGGTTTTTCATGGAGTTTCCCAACAACCTATTATATGAAAGATTAGTAATTTGACTTGGTGCACACCTATGTCTTTTTTTTTTTCAAAGTTGCTCCTTTTTAGTTTGATTCAGAAGACTCTACCATTCTACCTACTTTGACGATAATCGATACTATCTTGATAAAATTATTAGACTTGTTGCTCAAAAGATAGTCATAATAGGGAGCTTTGAAGGTGTTTATGAAGAGTGTAACTAGTTCTTTCTCTAGTAATAATGGTTGAGTTATCAAAGCATTTTCCTATCGTCCTTAAGCATATTCTCTTATAGACTCTTTGGTATCCTTCTCCATCGATTGTAAACTGGACCGATCGGTGGTAAGTTCCGGGTTGAACTTATATTGTCTCGTAAAATTTTTCATTACGTTTCTCCGCCTCTTGATCTTTGTTTGGTTCAAGTTGATGAACCAAGTGAGAGTTGATCCCTTTAGACTTTTCAAAAAAAAAAAATGAATCAACATTGACTCATCATTGGCTACTTCATCCATGTTCAAATAAACCCTAACATGACCCTAACTTTGATTCTTTAAATGCGATGATTGTGCCATCACCTTAGATGATTAGTGCCAAGGATAAGGACGTGTTCTATACAATACAAAAATGACAATTTGGAGAAGAAGAAAAATCTCTCTACTTAATTTTTATAAAACAACAAAATAGTCTAAAAATTATAGAAAAAAAAAGCATAAACACCTTCTATGGTCTAGGACACACATCAAAATGGCAATATATCCCTATATTTTAGGAGATATATCCAATCGTTAATGTAAATTTCAGATTGACTCGATTTTCTCTATTATTATTTTCTTTTTTCACAAACCTAAAAAATCTCCACCTCTAATTTTAAGAGGTAATAATATTAGTTATTTTTAATTAATAATTTTAATTAAAAATTCATTGCATAAAAATCTTGACTTGTTTGTTTACACACAAATATATATAAAGCTTCATTAAAAACCTACATTTTTTTTTCATTTCTTTTGTTGATTTTTTTATTTTTCCTTACCAAGTCAAATATATATATGTGTGTGTGTGTGTGTGTGTGTGTTTGTTATTCTTTGTTAGAGACTAGTATAAATTATATTCTAGGACCTCATTTATCGACTTCGACTTTTAGGTGAGATGGTCGTTTAATATTCTTATCTTAATTTTAATTGTGTATTACTATTTATCATTTTCATTTATAACTTTATTTAACTTCATCAACATCCCCCCCCCCCCCCCAAAAAAAAAAAAAAATTCCAAAATGGACATGTTAGGTTTTAAAATTAGAAGCATTCAATTAATAATTTTTTAATATATAGACACTCAAATAGTAAAAATAAAAATACATACCCTCAAATAAAAATAAAATAAAACTATAGACATTTGATTAGAAATAAAGTGTAATGTTCATGAATATTTGATGTACAGGTTAGCACGCTAGGCCACGTTAACATGTATTTAATGAAATTTATCGAAAAACTTGATTAAGAAAATTAAAAATTTATAAACTAGCTACAGAAATTTGAGTTCTCTGTTAAGAAGCCTTGTATTCAAAATTCGGGAAGAAAGGTTACCCATATTAAATTTCATTACGTATATTGAGCCTCTCGGGAAAATAAATAAATAAATAAATCAATCAAAGATGGTTACTTTTCATCTCACTTTATATATATATATATATATTTTTTTTATTTAAACAAATAAAATGGTACCGTTATTCCAGAATTGTTAAGAAGATAGAATTTACTTGGATCTCATGAGTTAGTGTGTTGAAATTTACTGAGTATGTATTTGATTATTGATATATTTTGAAAATCATGATGACCTAAACCAGTGATCTCATTATTCATGTTTTTTGTTTTTTTAAGAATGATCCAATTTATTTATTTATTATTATTATTATTACAGTATCTTTATTTTTTATTTTAGTGTTACGCTGGATGTGCGTGAATATTATACATCTATATAAAATTCAAATTATTTGAGCGGTTTTTGATGAGTGGATAAGACTTAAATTCTTTCTTTTATACATATATAATCCAAATTTGACAATCAACTTCCATAAAAAATATCGGAAAATAAAATAATAAATAATAACAATAATAATAAGTGGCTTTTGAAGCTTCCGAATCTTTAAAAAGCCTTTTCTTTGACGTATTATTGTGGCAAAGAGAAATGATTTTATTATAGTGACACGAAGAAAGATAGAAATAGAGATAAAGACAATATGGATGGAGCAGGGAACATGGAAAACAAAGATGTCTTCTTTCTAGTAATAAAGCAAACATGTTCATGTTGTCTCTCTGTGTTTGGCATTTTCTATTAAAAAACTACTATATAAATCTTTATTCAATCCATATTTTATTTATATTGATTTACTCGTTTATTTAGTATCCATTTAATACTCATAAAAAAAAATTATCATAAATATTTAGTTTAGTTCCTCAAAATTTCAAAAAAAAAATTTGGTCCTTAAAATTTATTTTTTTGTCTTTTGGTCATTTATTTATAAGTTTTTTGGTCCTTAAAGTTTTTGAAAAAATATTTTAATCCTTAATTTTTAAATTTTATGCAATTAAGTCTCTATATGTTAATAATAATAAAAAATAATAATAAATTAGTAAGTATTAATAGGATAAAAAATGGGTACCCATACCTTGAAACCATATTAAGTCTCTATATGTTAATAGAAAATATTTTAATCCTTAATTTTTAAAGTTTATGCAATTAAGTCTCTATATGTTAATAAAACAAAAATAAATAAATAAATTAGTAAGCATTCATAGGATAAAAAGTGAGTACCCATACCTTGAAACCATATTAGTAGATAAATATTTTTTTTACCCTTACCCATTTCATTACCTATTAGATATTTTTAATGTGTATTTACTAAGCCAAGTAAAGCGACTATCCATTTTGTACCCGACCCATTTCTATCCCTACCTATAGCCATCCTTTGGAATTAGTTTTGGAATTAGTTTTGGGAGATTTGCCAAGTTAATGTTAGTTCAGTAATTTTTTAACACAAAGAAACAAGAAAACAAAAAGGCATGAGTGTTAAAATATTTTTATTTATGTTACTAATTAACCATATCTTCAAAATACTATTAAAATGTAATTTATACAAAGGAAAGAAAGGAGAACAACTAAATAATTTGGTGTAATAATAAATAAAAAATTATTCTTTGAATTAAACCAAGTAATTAATTTCTAAATAAATGCAAAGAAAAAAAAATCTTATTGGTGCATACACCATGAATCTCATAAGAGGATACTTGTCGAATAGGAATGGCAATCTGACCTGATTCGATGGAGCCTTGCCCCACCCTGCTCCATTTGAGAGGGGGATTCCCCTCGTTGACTGGAAAATTGGGCGGGGCACCCCATATTTATTTTCAACGAGGATGAAGCGGGGATAATATTTACCTACTCCTTCTCATTTTTCCCGCTCCATATTTATCTAGTTAGGGTTTAATTTTACAATTACAATTTACATAGTAGTAGCTTCTCTTCAGTCTTCACCTTCTCTGGTTCTCTTCATCGTTCAGTCTCTCTTACTACGACTACCTACCACCACAGCCCAGTAGCCCACCGTGACGCCAGCCATCATAGCCCTCTATCATTGTCACCCACCAGCCACCAGTTAATTATACATATTTGTGCAACTCGTCTCACTAGTAGTAGTAAGTTATTAACCGACCTATCTTGTTGGGCACTAGAAAGAGTTCACAAATAGTATTAGGAAAGAATTATGTATCTGTTGACTGTTGGGAGGATGTGGAGTACAGAAGCAGGAGAGTTAATGAGTTATAATGTACACAAATGTCATTTTTTTTATTTGAAATAAAGCTTCAGTAGCTTCTTCAAAGGATCAAACACGCTTGTGACTTGTGAGTTGTGAAGGGATCAAATTTGATTACGACGTTTAATTCCAGATTAGGAAATTTGTTTGTAACTTGTAAGAGCCTTTTGCATCCCAAACATAGACATCATTGCGGCAAGCTTACTGTTGGACATAACTTCACAATCTTGTAGGGTGTCCTTGATTTTGCTTGGATCAGACCCGAAGTTTGCCAAATAAGCTCTGTATTTCTCAATGAACGCAGGTCCAGGATTAGGTGTTCTCGAGTATATCTGCAATATTGATGCCAAAACACAAATCTTTATGTGATCAATCATTCATCTACTAACCCTTTTTGCTTTTGAATTTTGATTTATTTATTTTAATTATGATTAAAATCCTTGAATCTGTTATCAAGGATATTAATTTCAGATGCCTATATTGCTTTGTTTATTTATCCTTTTTATTTATCCAATAATTTAAAACAGATTTCATTACATTCATGCAGACTTAGAGCTCAGAAGCATTCACTTGCTGGTTAATTGAACTTGAAGCCAAGACAAGTTGAGGTTTAGTTTCAAAACAAGAAGGCATTTAAGGCAAGGTAATGTTCATAATTTGTGCATTTAATTCCATGACACTTTTTTATTCATGTTGTATGGATGTCATTCCTATAAACATACTGGTTAGAGGATAAATGAGAAAGTTAGAAAAGATTTATGTTGCCAAATGCTGTATCTTTTTATTATTGTTGAACAAGCTTGTAGTACAACTGTACAAGCAGACTGGATTATGGGTGGTTATAGAGTTTTTTTTTCAAAAAAAAAAAAAAATATCCTTCTTTGGTAGTTGTTTAAGCTTTCACATTAATGGTGATGCTTTAGAAAATTGAGAATCTTCTCTTTACTGGGTAAAAATGTTCTCTTTAGTTGGTAAATATTCAATTTCTATAAGCCTTAGAATATAAGAAGTTGTTGTGGCATGGGCGAAGTTGGGTATATGGCTAGGGAAAGGAAATATATATGCATCATGCTTGCATGATGAATGTTTTGTTAAAGGTGATGTGGAGACACATTAAGTTTATGGTAAATGCATTTGACGCATATGCATAAGCATTCAGGACAAAGCAGCATTCAGTAGATGAAAAAGAAAAAGTAAGTTAAGCTAAAATTTACAAGAGGTATATTTCCAATCATCTCTTTGTCTAAATTTCAGCTCTGATAAGTAGACAATAGGGCCTAGGTAGTGCCTGCAAAATAGGTCTTGCATGATTTGAGCAATATCATTCTACTGTTTAAAGTTCTTATGTTAGTCACAAAGCTTAATAAGCCCACTTGTCCTCAAGAATAGCAGATCTGATCCCAAGACTAAAAAAAATGCATCTAAGAACCTAAATGGTGTTGACTTTACCATTAATTAAGAGTTTAAAACCTTCATTAATCATGTAGTTAGAACAAAAACCAAGTAAAGCTATGACTAATAACACACTTAGTTGATTTAAGAGGTAGTACATGTTAGGACTATAAGAACAGTCAGTATCACAATGGACTGAATGGAGTCCAGGCGTAGGACTCTTGCGAGCCAGCATGCACTCCAGGTGCATGACTGCTGCTAGCCAGTAAGCACTCCAAGCGCAGGCCTGGCTACGAACTAGCAGGAACTCCATGCTAATGAACTCCCATGATACTTTAGGACTTTCTTTTTTCTTTTCTTTTTTTAATTACTTGTTTTGAACCTCAACATGCCATATAAAAAAAAATGTGGTAACTAAGAGCATGTTAGTTGCACTTAGAAACATTGAATGCAACAGTGGTGTAAAAAAAAGGTCATAGGGATCACACTGGCTAAGATTAAAGAATTCAACAATGGTATGCAAAATGCATCTTTTATTCATGTTATCAGTTCACAATCTCAGCAATAGAAAATTATCCATTATGTTTCCCAACATAAGTAAGTTCAATAGTACCAGTGGTAACATACATGTCTGATTCTTTTGGGAAACTAGACACATAGCTCTTGAATAGCATCTGCTTGTTGCTTATTGTTTCACCACTACCTACATTGTTAAATTGGAGCACTCTCTCTGAAAGTTCTTGAATTTTTCTCATTATTTATGCAAATAGATAGAATTTGAGCTTCTTCTTTATCTGCCTCCATACATTACATAGAATAACAAAATTTGAGCTTGCTGAAATATACCTTGTCATTTTTAAATATTCTTATATCAGTTTTAAATTTCAGCTAAATGCTTTTATATGAAAAGATATAGAATAACGAAATGTTTTTGCTATAACAATGATTTTTAAACTATTGTATATTTTTAGAAAATGATAAGTCATGGTTATGGAGGTAGCTCTCATCACTCTATAGACTCTATACCAATACATTTGAATTCCCCTCTATCTACTCCAATTACCGAATCAATTTCATCTCTACAACCTACTGTGGGTGAACTTCAAAGTGATTTTGATCTTCCTTCTAAAAGGTAATATAGTTCCGTATGGAAACATTTTACAAAGAAAACTATATCGCTACACGACCTCGGATGGGACCCCCCAAAGGAATTAAAGTCTCTGCGTTAGTTATTTATAAAATTATTTATAGAGTTTTGGAGTCGCCACCTAGTATTTAAGGAACTACGAACCTAAAAGTGGCACTCGGTTCGGAGATTCCTAAGGTAAGGAGTTGGTTACGCTTTTAAGAAGACGTTTAATCACCTACAAGCGCCCTTTTCGAAAAAAGGTACCATATATGATTTAGTTCTAAATTCATTTCCTAAAATTTCATGTCAAGCTATTTTCTAATTTTAAACTCCTATTTTTTTAGACTAAGTGAATTTTTAGTTTTGGGCGTGGCATCATATTGAAACGATCGTCGGTCCCTTTCGTTGGGTGACACGTCGATTCAAACATCGGATCCACTAAAAGCCTTGACACAACCGGCGTGTTGGAGGACGTCTTAATTAAAATATGATTTTTTGTGATGTCGATCCCTATCAAATAGGAGACTTCGTCGAAAATTTTGAATATTACGTTCGTTGACGTCGGTCCCTATTAGATAGGAGACTTCATCAATTTATTTATTTATGATTTTTTTTTTGTGGCGTCAATCCCTACCAAGTAGGAGGCTTCGCCAAAATTTTTAGGCATTTTTTTTATAACGTCGGTCCCTATCGGATAGAAGACTTTGTCAAAATTGTTTTTTATTTTTCTAGCAATACATATTAAAGAAAAGAAAATTGAAATAAAAATTCTAAATTAAAAAAAATAACAAGGAATATAAATAAACAGAGCTAAAAAAATGAATAATAAAAGAAAAAGATAAAAAAAAATCATCATATACCTAAACCATTAACCCACCACTTTTACTCCTTTTTTTTTTTTACCCATCCCTTTTTTTCCTTTTTCCTTCTTTTTTTTTTTTTTACTTATTTTTTCTTCCCTAATTCTATTTTTTTATTTCTTTATCTCCCCTCTTTTTTTTTTTTTTAGTTTTTGAATGGTGGGCTACGAGTCGGGATCGCTAATGACCCATCCCTCTTTTTTTTTCCGCAAACGGCTGAGCTGGATCGATTGCGAGCCGGCCACCCTTTCCTTTTCTTTTTTTGTCCGCAACGGGCCGGCGGCCAAGCCCCTTCTTTTAAAACCCGACTAGGCTCAAGCTCGAAAACGAGTCCATAAGATTATGAATTCCAAAATTTCGATCAAGCACGGCTCCTTATCCACTCTCTTTCTTGTTCTTCACATTCCAAATTTTCTCTTAATGCCAAAAACTAAAAATTTATCTTTGATCAAAGAGTCGATTGTGCAAATCAACTACCCAAATCATGAACGAGGATAAAAGACAACCAACCGAAAAATAACAAACATACAAAAATTAAAACGAAAAGATCAACAAGAAGAGGCTAACTTGGAAACGTGGTCGAAGAACACTAGATGAACCCGGAAAAATAGAAGAATTGACGAAACCAAAACGAGGATTTCACACAGTTTTCTTTGATTATTGACCCTCGATTTGTTTTCTATTACACTCGAACAACAATAATATGCTTGAAAATGGCTCAAAAGACGCCTTTTATCGACCCGGAATGAAGAACACCAACCCGAACGAAGAACACAAACCCAAGCAACTATGAATAAACGCAAGTCGATGCCCGAAATTCCAAAAAGGAAGAACCCGGATTTTGAAGAATTGAAACCCAAATTTTAAACAAAAATGTAGAGGAGACTATGGAGATCTAAACTTGTCCCGAGAAACGCCAAAAAAGAACAACAAGGGGGTCCGACGGATTATAAACCAAACCCGAGTCTCAAGAACACAAACCAAAAAAAAAAAAAAAAGAAAAAAACCTAGCAAATGAAAACTGCTAAAATCAAAATCAAGTCTTTTCACCTTTGATTTTCATTCCCTCTCAAACCGAGTATTCTTTTCCTTAAAATCCCTCCTTTTTCTTTGTGAAATTCAACTCGTTTTATAGCCAAAAACTCCCTAGAATCGAATCAAAATCTCAAATTTTTCTATCAAAATATTTCCTCCTTAATTTATGATTAATGTGAGATCAAAACAGGAAATTTGGTCATTGCTTCTCGTTAGTGTTGATTTTGGCAACAAATCCATGATTAATCCACAATCAAAATAGGAAATTTGATGGAAGATTTGGCAAATTTCTCCCAAAGATTTTCGGAGAGAATTTGCATTGGAGCGAACGACGAGTCGTTTTCTCCATTTCGGTCTGTCGTTCGTTTCAAACTTTCGGTTTGGTCATCGCTTTTATCGACCCGGAATGAAGAACACCAACCCGAACGAAGAACACAAACCCAGCAACTATGAATAAACCCAAGTCGTCGCCTGAATTCCAAAAAGGAAGAACCCGGATTTTGAAGAATTGAAACCCAAATTTTAAACAAAAATGTAGAGGAGACTATGGAGATCTAAACTTGTCCCGAGAAACGCCAAAAAAGAACAACAAGGGGGTCCGACAGATTATAAACCAAACCTAGGTCTCAAGAACACAAACCCAAAAAAAAAAAAAAAAAAAAAAAAAACAAACCTAGCAAGTGAAAACTGCTAAAATCAAAATCAAGTCTTTTCGCCTTTGATTTTCATTCCCTCTCAAACCGAGTATTCTTTTCCTTAAAATCCCTCCTTTTTCTTTGTGAAATTCAACTCGTTTTATAGCCAAAAACTCCCTAGAATCGAATCAAAATCTCAAATTTTTCTCTCAAAATATTTCCTCCTTAATTCATGATTAATGTGAGATCAATCATTGCTTCCTGTTAGTGTTGATTTTGGCAACAAATCCATGATTAATGCACAATCAAAATAGGAAATTTGATGGAAGATTTGGCAAATTTCTCCCAAAGATTTTCGGAGAGAATTTGCATTGGAGCGAACGACGAGTCGTTTTCTCCATTTCGGTCCTGTCGTTCTTTTCAAACTTTCGGCTTGGTCATCGCTTTCAATTTCAAAAATTACGCCCTTCGATGGTATAATTTCAGCACAATCTCATTAATTAGGTCCCTAGGAGGTGCAATTTAAGGCCTAAATTTTTTAATTGATCGGATTACACCCTTAATTACTTCAATTGTGTCCCTAAATGATTTTTTTTTTGTGTGTTTTTCATCATTTTCTTTCTTCTTCTTCTTCTTCTTCTTTTAAGTAAACTTCAAATTAAGTAAAAATAAAAATAAAAAATAAAAAAATAAACATAAATAAATAAAAGTAAATAAATAAAATAAAATAAAAATAAGAAAATTTTAGGTTATTACGGTTGCCCCCTCTTTACAATGCTTATGGCACAAAGTCGGGTGAAAAAGGATGTTTTTCATCGACTTTGTTTAATAAGCTTGTAAAGAAAAGGTATTTTCTTTTTTTTTCTTTTAACCAAAAGTAAAGCTATGATGGGATGACTTTAAAAATTAAAATTCAGTACATGACCTTATTGTAAAGGGTAGCCTATCCTAAAAATTAAACGTGCAATGTGTGGCCTTATTGTAAATGGCAACCTACCTTAAAAATTAAACGTGCCGTGCGTGGCCTTGTTGTAAAGGGCGACCTACCCCGTGCAATGTGTGGCCTTATTGTAAAGGGCGACTCTACTGTAGAAATTAAATATTCGAGTGAAACTTAAACATGCGATGCGTGACCTTATTGTAAAGGGCGACCTACCTTAGAAATTAAACGTGCAAGTGTACATGGCCTTATTGTAAAGGGTAGCCTACCCCGAAAATATGCGATGTATGGCCTTATTGTAAAGAGTAGCCTATCCCGAAAATGGAACGTGTAAATGCATGACCTTGTTGTAAAGGACGACCTATCCTAAAAATTAAATATGCAATGGTCTATTGTGAGGCGACCCCGCTCGAGTGAATGATCTATTATTAGGCGATCCCGCCTAACATGATGATCTATTATTGGACGATCCTACCGTAAATGATGGTCTATTATAAGGCGACCTTGCCAAATTAAATGATCTATTATTAGGCGATCCCGCTCGAAGGAATGGTCTATTATGAGGTGACCCTACCTAAGTGAATGATCTATTATTAGATGATCCCGCTCGAAGGAATGGTCTATTGTAAGGTGACCCTACCTAAGTGAATGATTTATTATTAGGCAATCCCGCTCGACATAATGATCTATTGTGAGGTGACCCTACCTAAGTGA